AGATTAAGCAGACTCTTCGTGAAATGCTTTCTCATTTCCGTCTTCCTCAGATTGTGGTGCAATGTTGTGTTTCTGCCTGGCAACAATGCTCCCTTTCACACCGCAATCTGTGCACATGAGTCATTCCCTTGAATGTCGCTGGCTGTGAGTGATTTTGAGTGGGCTGAGATATGAGAAATATCAGCTCTGTCTCTTTGGAAGAGTCTAAGTATGTACATATATAATGCTAGCACACTGATTATTATCGTATTTTATTCCACTTTATTTTTTAATATCTGGTTTTACATTTATTCATTTAGCTGACACTTTTTATCCAAAGCAACTTGCAATTGCTGTATATGTCAGAGGTTGCACGCCTCTGGAGCAACTAGGGGTTAAGTGTCTTGCTCAGGGACACAATAGCGTCTCACAGTAGATTCAAAACCAGGTCTCTCACACCAAAGGCATACGTCTTATCCACTGCGCCAAATCTGGGGAACAACAGTCCACCAGGTGGTGGGGGCAAGAAGAAAAAAGGGGAAGAAGGGAAAGGAGAAAAAAAGAGGAAAAAATTACTAAAGCACTTTGTAACTTTGTTTTGAAAAGATCTGTATACATAAGGTATTCATTATGTTTTTTATACTGCAATGTTAATGTTCTTAACAGATGGTATTCTCTGTTTCTTAGTGACTACAGATGTAAATTAGCTTATAGCTAACTCTGGTACAGCTAAGAAGCTATGCACCATTCCTGTCAAATAAACAAATAAATCCATCCATCCATCCATCATCAACCACTTATCCTGCGTACAGGGTGGTGGGGGGCTGGAGCCAATCCCAGTTGGGGGGAAAAAAGGGTACACCCTGGACAGGTCGCCAGTTAAACAAATAAATATGTAAAATAAATTATTATATTATATTAGGAGGGATTTCACTTGTGTACTACTAAGACTAATGCTAGCAGCTCTGTGAGGCTGTTCTTAGACATAGTTGTGCTTTAAGCTAAATGCTAACATTAGCTTGCTAACATGCATTCAATGACTAAATTGTTGATGTTTAGCTGGTGGTGAGCGTGCTAATATTGCTAATTTGCATGAAACACATGGAACACGAGGAAGCCGATTGGAATGTCATTAGTATTTTCTGCAGGTATTCAGTCATAAACCAAAGATAAAAAGGTCAGATGAACAGCAAAGTGATTACAATTCATCCCGAAGGTAATGCAAATGTCTGAACCAAACCACAACAATCCATCCAACACTTGTCAAGACATTTCAACCTTAATGGTGGCCCTAGAGGACAAGTGAGGGGCTCATTTGTGCACAATGTCATGAAAGTCTGACTGAAAAGCTTTAAAAATGAAACTTTCACTTGCTCGGTGGCTTCTGGTGTGAGCACACTCCTCCAAGATTATTAGGTTGTTTGCTGTGAATTTTCATTGCTAACACCCAGAAAGCCTGAAAAGCTGACACAGTGATGGATTTAGGGTCTCTGGCCCGGTGGCTCAAGCTGTTAGGTTCCTCTTCAGGTGGACATGGGTTTGATCACTGGACAGCTCAATTAATTAACCCAGAGTGGGGTCTCAAAGCGCTCAGAGAGCTCTTAAAAAAAGAACCAGCATGGTGGCTCAGTGTGTTAGAAGAATCAGCACAGTTCTGAGATTGTGGTTTAATGACTTTTAAAAGTCCAAAACTCAGAGGAAAGAGTGAAATCCTTTCAAAATTATTTCAGTGTGTCTGGTTCTGTTGCCCAGGTTGTTGGATTCCTCAATTGTGTTTGGAGGATGTGAGTTCAGTTCTCACTCTAATCAATCAATTTTAAAGTTGGACGTTCACAGAAAAAAGTGAAGAGTGGTGAGATGTCTCATGCCAAATAGCTTAGGGTGTTAGAGGACTAGTCAGAAGGTCTGAGGCTGTGGGGTCAATCCTTGTGAGACCCAGTGAATTTTAAAGTTGGATGTTTAAAGGAAAAGGTGAAATGCTCTAAGAGAAGTTAAGTGTCTCAGATGTGATAGTTCAGGGTGTTGGAAGACTGGTCAGACATTCTGAGGATGTGGGTTGTCCTTATTAGTCTCAGTGAATTTTAAAGTCCAACACCCAAAGTGAAGAGATAAAAGCGCCCAGAGAGAAAGTCCAAATGCAAAGGGGACTTGGTGTGGTGGGTTTGTTTGTGACCGTAAGGTGTGACAGCGTTGGAGTGTCTGGTTCAAATCCTGCCCATGGCCCGTACCTGGAGCATCAAAACCAGGTGATGGAGGAGCCGATGTTCTTAGAGAGATAGAAGCTGGGGGTTATGGGATGGTGAACCAAGACTGGCTTACATTTTACTGAAAGTTGTGATGATGCTTGTTTAGAAATGTTGCAAAAGTTTTACAACTACACTACTCACACATACTGCTGTAGCCACATTGTGCGCTCTGTTGGCAACAAGGATGGGGGCGCACGCATCAAACGCTCAGGTAACTGTGATTGGATATCAGTTAATGTATAAGATAAACATGTTTGTGTAGTTATTTCATTGGCTTGTAGATTATATACATACTGAACTAAGTTGTAATCAGATGTTAGCTACATTTGCATGCTTTAATCCCACTTGTTGACTGACACAAGTTTATTGTCCTGAACTGTTGTTTGTCATTCCAATTAGTTAAAACAGATGACATGTCTGCTTTCAAAATTCACTGTGATCCTAAGGCTACAGACCCAGACCCATTCAAAGGGTTGTTCTCAAAACTTTTCAGCCCTACTCTAACACTATATTCTGTAAACCTGACTTGATTGCAACTTAAGGTGATTTTGGACAGCGAAAGCAAACTGTGAATGTGGACATAAAATGAAGCCTGAGCGGAGCCTGTTCTTCTAACAGTGTCTAACAAAAAATGTCAGTCAACAAGTCCAGGGCCAAGTATGAACAAGTGGGACTAAGCATGCTTATTTAGACAGTATTTTTAACAGTTTAATGTATTTTCTGGTTAGTTCAGTGCATATAATGCATGTAATCTACAAGCCAATGAAACAACTAAACAAACACGTTCAATCATATGCATTTAGACATTCAAATTCCTCGATATCTAATCAGTTACCCAAATGTTTGTAGCATGTGCTCCCATCCTTATTGCCTCCAGGTAAAAGTGCCAACTGTCAAACAGGAAGTGGTGGAATCCAATTTGGTTTATGCAAGGGGGAACCCAGACTGTACTAAGTGGGATAGACAGCATTTAAACAACATTTATTTTAATGTCAAAACAGAATATTTTAAAATTTGTTTTCATTGCCACCATTGGGTTAGTTATGCACCTGCTTTAGCTCCACTGTTGTGGGAATTAGTATTGAGGGATGAAACACCATTCACCATTGTGTTAATTCAATCTTCACACTTTCATTGTACAAAAGTCAACAATTAGCCTACCTAATTAGCACTAAACTTAATCTGAGGGGGATATGCATCAAATTTCATGGCAATCCCACCAGTAGATGTTGAGATATTTCACGGGGTAAGTGAAAGCTTTGACCAAGAACGTCTAAAAACTGTGCAAAATACCTTTCTGCAAATTATAACACTTTCTGGCGGGTGGTGTGACACTTTAACCTTGTCGAAAATGTCTGTAATCATATTAGTGTACTTTCAATAGTGTGCACCTCGTTCTCACCCATCACCACTTAATGACTTCTTTAAATGTCACCGTGGAGGGTGCTGTTATATACGTCGGATTAAAATCTCATTAACTCAGAATGAGATCCTCCAGTACCTGCTGAGAGCCATGGTACACTATTTTCCTACTTGAAAGAAGAGCATTTACCCACAGTCAGTGATTCAGTCAGAACACTTGATCGATCTTGTTCTGCTAGCAGCAGCTCTCCCTCTTCCCCTCAATATTACCCCTGACTTGTCACAAACTCCCTCAGAGCATCAGAGACGATGACGAGCCCCGAGCAAGCGGTGATATTTCAGTCTGTCGGTGAGGATGACCTGCCCTTTACATCACCTCTTGCTAAGGATTCCTCCACTCCTCCATCCTTCATTTCCTGCCTTTTGTTTTCAGTGTGAATGAGCAAAGGAAAGAAGGGACTGAGACTGAGCCCAAAAAACAAAGACATAATATAGCAGAAACATTTTTTACTTTAAACTCTGAAGGTCAAGGAGTGCCCGCAGTGTCTCATCTGGACGTCCTTCCTGTGACCTCTGACCCAGGAAGCCCTACAGCTGCAACTATTCACTGTGGGGTGAACGGTGACATTTGCTTTTATTCAAATGAACCTGAAATATATGCAATGCTTGGAAAAATATGCTTAACTTATCCACTTCAGATTCCAGTGGTGCTGTTTTCCTGCTGACCACCTCCACCTGCAGGGTGCTCTTTTACTGTGAATACAAAAGGGGCCACAGCAGGGGGAATGTGGATGACCAGGGGAAAATATCAAGTAGAACTGATTTCTGTAGGAAAATAAGAGAAAAATGTAATCACTTTACATGGAACAAAAAAGTCTCACTTCATTCTATTTTCATGGATTGTTTTGACAAATAAAAACTGTTTCATTTGTGCAGGTAGTGTCTGTATGGTAAATATGTTGCTTAACTATAACAACTTAGCATAAGCTAGCATAAGCTAGCATAATAACTGCAAAGAGGATAGCACAGATAGAATTGTTGTTTTTACAATGAGTTTTGAACAGATTAAACAAACAATATATGAAGTGTTTATTGGTCATCTTTAGAGCTGCTGGTAGGCACGTTTTGTTCCAAAGATATTTCTTGCTTTTCTTCTTAATGCAGTCATGTTATTTCATAAATATTCATATTTTTTATGAGAAAGAAATAAGAGAAATTATGCTCTTAGTGCAAAGAGCCAATTAGATTAGTTAAGGATAAAAACTCATCACAATATAACATCATACACTTATTTTTAGATTCTGTATGACTTACACTAACACGAGTTCATAAATCCATTTAGAAATCATAGGAAACAACAAGCTCCTTATAAATGCAGAACGTGGTTAGGAATCACCACATTTTTAAGAATTCTTCAGTTTCAAAGTAATCCAGTGAAAGTTGTCTCTACATACATGGGTGCACTGCAAACTGGAAGTGATAATAGCTTATTTGGCGCACTTTTAATGGTGCCAATTCTCCACAATGTATACAAATAGTCTAAAATAAACTTGGTTCAAGTTGTAGCCCACAGCTACCTCAATGATACCATTGCAATACTATAGCTACTTCCTGCTTGCATTGCACAAAAACCCTAAAGGGAGGGAATAAGTGTATTTTCCCTTCAAGATATGCAACATCTCAACTACAATTTAACCTCTTAAATTCCGCTGACACATTTTCTTGACTTTCAAATGAACACAATCCATGTTTTCTATATATTATCTCCTTGCAGCACACAGCCTGCATCTGATGGAGTTCAGGCGCCATCTGTTGTCCAAACCACACCTTGACAGAAACAACACTGCTAAAAACTCTGATGTCCAGTATCATAGGTGTTATTGATAACACACAAGGTGCACTGTCCTATTGACAGTGTGACAGACAGTGCAGTTTCTTATTGCAATGGTGGCTGGTGATACTACTACTACAACAGTATTTGAGTTTTTATTGAACCTGGAGAATACAGCGAGTCAGAAATGATAATCACTTAATATCTTTGCTTAGTTTCGAATTACCATCCAAACTGAAGCAACACACAACAATAACAAATGTGTGACAGTGGAAAAAAGTCCTGACATTGTAACTCATATTTTCCCACCACTGGCACAATAACAATGAAGATCTCTTTATGACTTTTACCCATTATCTTGATACTGATGTTTTGTGCGATTATATGGCAAGACATACTCCTCCAAGATATACCCAAACTGGTTGATTATGACATTAGAGATAACAAATATAGTGTAGCTTAATGTACTTTGCATTTCTAAATACATGAGTTAGGTACCCGACTTGTATAAACTACAAAAAACTTGAGCAAGAGAAAAACAATATTTTTCTTCACACCAGAGACACACAGGTCTGAAAGGTGAGCAATGAATCAAAATCACAGAACCTCACTGTTGAACAACTTGAAGGTCAACATTGTACATTAAATACACTTAGTTAATCCATTCTGCAGCAGATTTGCACTGGTAGTTTGTAAATATCAACGTTTTTTTCTTCACTATAGTGGTATGGTATAACTGTAGTACATTCAAGAAACAGCTGTCAGTGATAATAACCTCATGACCCATAAATCATATCATATATATGAGAAACATCCTACCTCTTAAAGAATAATGTAGGTATTTGTAGACCTGGGCCCTGGGTGTCGAAATAACTTGTAGATTCTTTCAGGGAAATTGCGCTGGTCAAAATTATGTCCACAAAAAGTGTCTTTTTGCCACCAACAGACTCAGACTGTGATACCAGGAGTCTGACAACATCATGGAAATGATCCCTATCTGATTCCCGGTGACACCCTTTGTTTTTAACCAGTAAATTAGGGTCTCGCTCAATTCTCGCTCTGAAATCTCATGAGAGGAGAGTTGTTGCAAAGCTTTTTGTACCTAGTAAGTACAAAATGAAAATAGGGCTGCATTTGCTTCTTGTTTGTGAGTTGAACTTGTGTGAGGGGGCGGAAAAGACATCTCACTCAGGAAGTATTGATTGTTGCAGTTTTAGGATATCCCTGTGTGTGTAACTGCATTGGCTGAAAGAACTAAAGCAGCAGATATGCTTGTTTGCTTAGATTTAACATGGAAGTTTCAGTTAACCTGATCCTAAACACCAAGAATTCTGGTAATATATAATGTCTTTCCAGTTTATTACAACATTTAAATTAGTTAATTGTGACATCTACCAGCAACACTGCTAATTTTGTCAAACTGAGTTTGACAGGACAAGAAACAGGAATGGCCGGTATATAAAGTGTGTATGAGAGATGGATCTCTTGTGTTGTAGCCCCACTTTTTGTTTTACGTGAATAAATGTTACTGTTATAGCAGCTTTAATTTTTATAATCTGGTTAAATTGCTATTACACTTGTATTTTTATGTGATGTACAGTCCAAAAATACCATGCCAGCGTGGATAGCTGCAGTGATTTAAGTTAAACTGTTATTATTTCAACATAAAACAGGCTGTTTTACAGTTTGAGCTAATGAAGCCTTCAGTTATGTTGAAAGAATTTCAACAGGCTTGATTTATGGAGACTCTGAACTCAAATACAGCGGGAATTGAACAACTTAATTTGATGGGTTAAGCAAACAATCAGTTGGTCATTCAGTCATCAATTTGAGACTTTAACTCAAGTTCTGAAATGGTTCTGAAAGTGATAAACAAAAATTTGATTAACTTCATGGTAAAATTACGAGTTGATTTAATCAAATTGATGAAAGTTTACAGTGTAAATTCAACACCATCATCTCATACATTCAAATATTTGTTTGAATTACACTGAATTTGCTAATTCTTTTAAATTGACCTATGTACATATTCTAATTCCTTATAATATACTCTTTTAATTTCGTACAGTAGTTAGTACTCTACATTTTATTATGCACCCACGCGCACACACACACACACACACACACACACACACACACACACACACACACACACACACACACACACACACACACACACACACACAGGTCTTAATGTTAAACCAAAAGTTTTGATTCTGTAGTCACTAAAGGAGGTTGTCATTTAGTTTTGTAGCAAATATCAATAAAACGCCCTGGAAACCAACATAAAAGCAACATCCTCTTGACACACAGACCTTTTGAAATGACAGGACTTGGCACAACAGTTGGCTGACATGCTGGCAAATGTTCACAATTAGTCTCTGACATCAGAGAGAAGAGGAACTGAAATAAAAGACAGGAGAATGACTTTGGCCGCAGTTCAAAATGCGTTCTGTTCCGCAGAACTCTTCTACATTCACATGATTTCATATCAGCTCACTGAAAGCTCAAAAAACTGCAAGAGGCCGCTGTGCATCTGTATGCTGCAGTCTTCTGCCACTAGGGAGCAGTAGTCATCTACTTCTTCCACAGTGTAACTCCTCAATTTCGTTTCAATTAGATTTGCATGAAGTGCTTCTTCTTTTGCCCATATTTTACAATAAATTAGACTCTCAACTAGGTCTATAAATTCCCCATTTGTCACAATAATCCCATTGAAAGTTCCTCAGGCATATGTCACTTGCTGTTGCACATCATCAGCTCCACTCGTCCCGCACTGTAAGCTGCTGCCGAGTCCCAAAACCAAACATCCAAACTCACTAGACTCTAATAATGCTGATGGAGGAGGAGGCTCTGTGAAGCTGGAATAGAAAGAAGAAAACAGTGAGCAGGAGCTGGATTCATAAACACGAGTCATAAACAGAGAGGGTCACAAAAATGACTCATATACAGGAAGCCAGTGTGTGGGCCTGTTCACATGCGCTGCCACGTGCCATCATACACTTAATCTATGATGTATGTCAAAGACAGATTGGTAAATCTATGTGCATGTGTCTGTGAGAGCTTGACATTAAATGCACAAATCTAACTGCTCCGAACTGCTCCAAATGGGCTCCGCTAAAGTTCTCACTTAATTGCGTTCAGCTTTGGCTGAAAACGGTCAGCAATTTGAAATAATTCTCACTGTGGGGAGAAGATGAGGCTCCCTATGTTATGGAGGCAACCAGACAAATGATAAATAGTTTTAATTTTTAACCTCTTATGTCATTTTAAACTTGTGCTGTGTAGCCAAACTTTATTCAACTGGACAGAACATTATTAAAATTCAAGCAAAGATAGTAAGATACCAAGTTTCCAAAGATACTAAATATGTCAGACTTATTTTGGGTGAAATGTGTCTAAACTGATGTACAAAACATCTACAAGTCATTCATTTGATGGAATAATGTACAATTAAGAGTTGGATCAAGCAGATACAGAATACATATGATACTGTCTGACTGTTTGTGGAGTAAAATGACTCCTTCAACCTTAAAGCTACTTATAAAAATACTGTACGAGAGAAAAACTGGATGTTAATGGATTAAAAATCTCCTGTCCCAAATGTAGCTGATTACATTAGAGCTGAAGTGATTAGAGGAGTGACTGATTACAGCATCAAAAGAAAATTAGCAATCATTTTTGATAAGTGATTAATCATTTAGTAGGCTAATGTTTAAACAGAAATGCTGAACAAAATCTCTGGTTTCAGTTTCTTGAATGTGAATATTTTCTGATTTTGCCTACATGTCTGTCCTACTATAGTAAATTGAATACTTTAGACTGAACATACTAAACAATCATTAGATTAATTGATAATTAAAACAATCCTTAGTTGTAACTGTACTGTAACAGTATATTTGGTTATTAAACCTGCAATAAATTACATTTTGGCCACTTGGAGGCAGCAGAAACTATTTGTGAACGCAACAAGACAGCTTTGAAATTGATTTTGTGAACCTGTGAGCATAGCAGAACCAGTCGCCCATTTACACATCCATTGTTATTGTAAAAATAACACTGAGAGACTGTTCAGTATTTATGAGAAGAGGGGGAGCAAAACGGGGGAGGGATGTAAAATAGGCATGACTCATGTTTTTTATTTTGGCAATAGGGGAGAGACATACACCTTTAAATGGTTGTACTTTATGTTTATTTTAAATATGTTTTTCTTTTCAAAATACTAAACTTATCCGTGAAGTTGTCCGGATAATAAACAATCTTGCCTTCCTCACTGAGATCGGATCTCTGTCCTCCAGAGCAAAACCTGCATGTGAGGAATTTGAGGTTGTGGCAAATCCGCCCAGACTCCTTAGGAAAATCATATGGTTTTGTTAGCTGTTGAGTTAGGGGTAACTTTAGAAACTTTTTGAAATGCTGTCTATGATGAATTCTTAATTATTTCCCCCCATCCCCATATATACCTTCCACATCGAGGGGCACCGTCAGGGCCTATATTCCACAAAATAATATTATAAAAGTCATCAGTTCTAATTTTATTTTTAAGGCTGCCGTGCCAGCTGATATTATTCTGGCCACTGCTGCCAGTGTTGTGTACGTTCCATTATTGCAGTACTATAGGAGAGGACACAGTAAGTTGGGCTGGCAGTTTGCTTTTTTCCCCGCCGAGGAAATGTGGGCCAGAGGGCCAAGGTTTAACAGCCACTGTTTGCTATTACTTGTAATGGTTGGAAAAGGTCAGCCTTTACTTTATATTTTCTCCAACACTAGCTACCTTTGGTGTGAATATCATAAAAAGACGGTTATTTATGGTGGAGGCAGTGTCATTCATTTTCCCATAGTCACTCAGGAGGCTCAAGGAAAAATATTTGTAGCTCCGGGGAGGGAGGGTCAAGATCAAAAACAAACAAATAATGAGAAGTCCCTTATAGTTGCTATAAGTTTTACAATATACAGGTGGCTATAATTCCCCCACTTCACTCACTGACAGAATGATTACAACATTTTCCAAGATTGCCATAAAGAAAAGCAAAATTACCCAATTTTAAATATGGACATGCATTATGACTGCAAGTAGAAGAAATCAGTCTCATCTGCAAACATCATGGAGGACTGGAGGACTTTCTGTCATGCATTTAAAGGGATAAAAGAAAGTCCTTTAAGAAGTAACCCATTCATGATTTCTGTGTGATCCTGGCCTTGGTTTCAAGTGTTCTAAGTATTATAAAATACATTCTGCTGTTCACGTTGCTGGTCCTCAACTCTTAGGTAACAAAAGCTGCAAGCCCCTTTTCATCATGCATCTGACTGATTCTATGTTTGTACTGTAGCTAGCCGGCAGTCACAGCAAGACACTCAAAGCTTTTTAGACAGACAGAAGTAGTTTATCGTCTCATCTTCTCATCTTGTCGGAAACAAATCTACCACTTTTTCTGAGGTGAACTGATCCACAGCAGCAACCTGACAAGCATCTGCAGCTAGCTCTCTCTCTCTCTCTGTTTCCAGCCTGGCTGTTATATTTAGCCATGATGGCAGCAGCTCTGGTTGCTAGGAGATCCTCTGATGCAACTACAAAGGCTCTTCAGAAGAAACAAAATACTCCTGGCAGCAAAAGAATGATCATGCATTATAGAGAAGCACTGCTACAAATGAAATCTATGGAGAAGTTTAAAATGATGCAGTTTTCTTCATGAAGTTCAGGGCTGGGAGAAGAAATGAGTCACCCTGCTGCTGCGTACGGCTCCGTTGTGGTAGATGGGTGAGCTGCCGGCTGAAGTGTTGTAGTAGGAGGAAGTGGCGCGGACCAGCGGCCTCTTGGTTTTGTCCTTGGTGCTGTTGGAGTCGTTGTCTTTTATGATGTCATACTGTCGGCAGAAGAGGGCGATGACAGCTTGGGTTGGAGGATGACGAGGACGTGGGGAGGAGAAGAGAAAACAATGTGGAAGTGTCTTCGTTTGCATGTGGATATTATTACACATTCAGTCTTCAAATACATCCTTATCTGCACACAGTCAAATATTTGTACACCCACACACATGCACACAAATACACATCCAGGCCTGACCTGCCCACAGCAGCAGCACAGTGGTGATAATGAGGAGCTCTCCTGTCTGTAAGTGAGGAGTCATGCCCAGACCTTCCATCGCTGGTTCATCTGAGGACGAATAAAGACTCAGCAGTGTCAAACTTTATTAACAAGTACAAAAAACATGGGGGGGGGGGACAGAACCAGGCTAGCTGTTTCCCCCTGTTTACAGTCTGTGCTCCCAGGGGTCCTATTTTCCCCAGCCTTAAATCCTCTGACAGTTTCTCTCAGTTGTTCAACCACTAACACTGGTGACCACAACCTGTAATTCATCAAATAACCAGCTCTGCTAAAAGACCCATTTCCTGCTTTAAACTCAGACTTGCAGCTCTACACCACACTACACACAACTCTCTACATTTGGCACCATCTTCATGATAAATCTCTGATGTTCACACAGAGCACACTGCCATTCAGAATGCTCAACTTAAATTTCATGCTGTGCATTCTGAGTCCTCACGCGGGCAAACACTTGTTGCACATTTGTTCAATAGGCAATCAGCGCTTTAGCAATACAGTGAAGGGGCCACAGGTGAGCTCTTCTGTTTTGGAACAATATATGCTGACATAGGAGGGGCAGGCAAGTTGAGTGAGAGAGGAGGAGGAGGAGGAGGAGGAAGACCACAGAGAGTCATAATCTCTGATGAGATGAGACCATGGTCTAATAATGAGGCAGGTAGGCAGTAGCACCTTACCACCAAAGCAAATTCCTTGTGTAAAACACTACTTGGCAATAAAGCTCCTTCTTCTGATTCTGAGTACAACCACTACTCTCATTACAGTATTGTAGTACTGCATATCATTATAATACTTCATATACCACAGTACTGTAAACACAAACAGTTATTATTTATGCATGAGATTGGGAACTGCACAGTATTACAGTTTTTCTTGATTGCTTAAACACAACAAACTCTAAACACAAATCCGAACTTCTCACCCAATTCCCCAAATGTCCTATATTAAGGTCATAATGACGTATTCCACTGAAAACCATTCAATCTTGCTGAAAAACCAAAGTTTGCCCTCAGACATGACACACAAGCCCTCAAAAACACACACACTGCAACACAGTCTTACACACTGGTGACATCAATTCAAAGCAGTACCACAAAAACTGGTTATTAGTTATGTTGCCTGTGGATCTCCCCCTCAAAAACTTTTTCACATGATGAACACAACAAAATAAACAACAAATGTATATATATGTGCAGTTCAACACACCAAACAACTAATTATTCTGCTCCAGCATCCTGTCGTTGGTCTGGGAAGGCCAGAGATTCTCGTCTCTCCTCCACCTCCTCCCTACTTCTCCTCCTCATCCACCTCCTCCTCTACCTCCACCTCCTTGCTTTACTCCTCCACTTCCTCCTCTCCCTACTCCTACTCCACCTCCTCCTCCTCTTTGGTGCCTTCTACCGCTTCCTCCACATCTCTCTGGAACCATCATTCCAAAACTGAATGAAATGACTCTGGCCCTTTTATCTATCTATTGAAGCTTCTGATTGGTGTGCGATCAATTATGACTCTTTGTTTCCACCTGGGTAGCTGTGTGCTAATTGAGCTCAAGCTGTGCTGACTTGAGTGAACAATATTGAATATTGCTTTCTCAATGACCACATGGTGTAGGCAATGAGAAATTAAGGGATTTGTGTGTAGAGTTTAGGCTTTAGGGAAATGGGTGTGCTTTTTGAAAAATGGAGTTATGGTTTTGACATTTTAGTTCAAAAGCCTAGTTAGTGTTTAAGCAATTGAGAAAATCTGTACCTGCCTGGAGACAGAAGGTCTATGACCACGATCCCCATGTGTGCACCTCTGCTGCAAATTGTGGAAGATGCATGTGCAGATCCAGCTGTAGAAGGTTCTCAGGGCTGGACTCACCTTGCTAGGCAATACTTCTCCCTTTGATTATTCTATTTATCTTCCTTTTAAAATGTTCATTTTAAGTGATTACTTGGGAGTCATGGTGTTAAGCAATGTTAAAAGTATGTACATTTCCACCAACTTGCACTTTTTTGTGTGTGTATGTAGATCTATTTACGGTGGTCCAGGACTCCGGCTGGATAATGGTCACTCCTCTCCAGAGTCCTGAAGTGGACGGCGCGGCTGGGTTGGCTGTCACCATGCGGCCCAACAGACTGCACCTAAACCCCCAGAAGAAGATAGTTTCTTTAGGTGAAAAGCATGAATACCCCTCATGATATTGAGGAAAACTAAAGCTAAGGTGGAGTCATATCATCACATTCAGACACCTAGTTCTTTACAGCTGAACACAAAAACACTGGGTACATTCCAGCTGACATTAACGGAGGATGACATTATGTAACGATGACAAGATACTGGCTTGCGAGGGTATATTTAGCAAATGGTGCTTTGGGTTTTGGCCGGTATCCTGAATGATGGTTGGAGGACAAACAGTAAATGGAGAAGCAGACTAAAAGCTTGCAAGATAACTGGGGGAATATAAATTTGAGCTAAAGACTCATCTGGAGACTTTGGACTTCTTTGGAACACTTTCAGCAACCAAGGAGAGTGAACGTGCACCCCAAACTGAAGCTACTTGCAAAAAATAAACAAGTCAGATGATGTATTTCTCATTCAAACTGAACACAGAGATATTTCCAGCAGCTACAGTGGAGCTTGGTAACAGAAAATATTTAAGCTCAACAATCATACAGGGAGAGAAATCCATCACAGAGGCACAATTGCATTCACAAGAGGTCTCAGACGCCACTGTCGCCGCCTACGCATTGAACCCAAAGGTTGAATGCAAAGAGTTTTCTGTGCAGGTTGTTGCAAGTCATTCTAGGAAAATGACTAAGTGGGGCAGAAGTGGGTACAATATAAAAGGTTTGCAGCACTTCACAAATAAATCCTTGAATTAATGAAAAAGTATTCAAAGGTTTGTCTCTGCAAACTGTCCTTGAGCAAAACACCAAGCCCTGATCTACTAATCCACTCAGTCTGGATAATGATTAAACTCTTTACCTAACTCCACAGGGAAATTCTCTCTTTTTTTTTTTTTTACCTTCCTCTCCTCTACAGGAAGGTCAGAGGTGAGAAGTCCAAATATCAGCTCTCCCGCTGCTGGCCAGGCTTCTGTGCTTTGCTCAATGACACTTCTGCAGAACATCCGCCTGCTGACGAGCATTTTTAACAGAGTCCTCCAACTGAAGGACAATTTGTATCAGTCTATTAAGCTGTAATGGATTATAAAAAGTTTAATAGAGTCATGATGATGGAGTCACATTAGATACTCCTCCTTCAGCCAGTAGCTGTAATTTGTTCTGGTTCTTGATTTATGCAACTTTGAGCTATAATAACTGATAGATATGCCATAAAGAAAGTTTTACCAGTGTGTATTAATCACACACCGAGAGGGGGTTAATAAAAATAAGTCTTAATTTCTAATATGCAATATATCATCAAACTTCCTCAATTAAAGCTGCACCACAGACGACTGGAGAAAGTATCTCATTTCCAGTTTTGTGGTTGTCCTTTTTACACATTATTATATTATAAAGTGTACTAAAGTGTATTATTTACCATTTAGTCATTGTTAATGTAATGTTTACAAATGCTAATAACTAGATTATAAAGTGCTATAAAACAATAATCAGGGGCTGCTTATAAATATTTAAATAAGGCGGTAAAAAGTTTCCTACTTGATGAATTAGAATGACAAATGTTTATTAATAAGTCATTAGCACATTAACTTTGGCTTATTAGAAAGTGAAAAACATGTGAACCTTTCAGTAGTTGCAGTCTGAATGTTTTTTTGGGTGACAAGAAGACCACAACTGTTAATTAATGCCAACTTTTATAATCTATTAACCATTAATTAAGTTACGTTAGAATTTACAAATAAGATATTCCCATCAGACTTAACCTATGTGCTATTTTTTAAACAAGAAAACAAATCTTTTAGCTTTGTGAAGGGGGACAAGTGTGTGTGCGTGTGTGTTTGTACATCTCACCTGGACGCTGTAGTGTGTGTCCTCGTCCAGGTCCCACAGCACACACCAGCGGCTGGACGTGTTCACCTCTCGGATGGAGCGCTGCATTAGGCCGTCCTGCCTCTGGAGACACACACACACACACACACACACACACACACACACGCAATCACACACACACACACACACACACACACACACACACACACGCACACACACACACACACACACAAAGCAATAAAAGCACATGAATATTCACACTAATGCAGACCTAGTATTTAAATGGAAGGAATTTAAATTAAATTAAATCTTGGGATTGATTGCTGGACTTGTTTGACTACTTGGGTCTGGCAGATAATATGACGCCCTAGACGAAGCAGGGGTGTAAAAAGGGAAAACCTCACTAACCAGTACACCATCATGCCCAATTTAAATGTAGAACTCATTTGTTGAATGTATACATCATTATTTCATGATTTCAAGACAGACGTTATAAATGCAAACTAAAATCCCTGCTGTAACAAACAGCTTCACCTCATGTAAATTCAGCTCAGAGACTTACTGTCCCAATGGGGGAAATTAGGTCTGCAGGCAAGGCAGCGTTAGAAATCTTCATTTGGAAGAAACAGAGAAACACATGTACAGGCAGAGATGCTCTGCTGGTGCCGAAAGCAGCAGTTCAGCACCTGGTGAAAAACATTTTTAATAATAATCTCTTTTCCTGGTTTTAGGTTCACTCATGACATTTTAACTCTGGTGAAACCATGAGCCTTCTTATCTTCTTATTTTGGACAAGTCACCGTAGACGAAGACGCGTTAAACCTGCAATAACCTGACAGCAGAAACACGCTATGAATACAAAATTCAGTTATCATCACCTTTGAGTCAAAATTTTACACTTGCGACTTACACATCCAGCAGATACAGAGCAACATGTTGTCCACCTGATGAATGTAACCTCAATATTTGCTCCCTGTTAGCTATGTTTTTGGTCTCCACCAGCTTCAGAGGGAAATATCTGCCTCTTCAGCTGCTAAATGCTCCACTGTGTTGAGCAGCTTGTAGCTAACTTTGTCTGTCTGCTGTTTGGTGCTGGGCAGGAAGTGAAAAGTGAGGAGAGTGAATCAATACAAGTAGTCATTTGATCCATTGTTAATCTAAAAATACATTATTTCTTGAAAATAGCAATTATGAAAACCAAATATGAACAACAAAGGAATCATTAAATCTTTTAGTTTTTTGCTCAGACATCCTGATGAGTACAGATCAAAGTCCTTTTAAGGAGGATTTTCAGTCCCAAATGACTAGTTCGGAGTCGAAAAGCTGGGCCTGAACCATCTGAGTGATCTCACTTAGCGCTCTTATTTGTTGAGATCATTCCATAGATACTGAGACCAAAATGGTTCATTAAAACATACATATTTAAAAAGTTATTAATTATTGTAGATTAACACAAAAGCTTAGAGTTCAATTCAAAGTTGAAAGTATATTATGAAATGTTATCTCTAGCTTCTGCTAATATCCACCTGCTCAACACCAGAACTATTTATAGAGAGAAGATTTTCTAAAATCCACAATTGGTAAGCAATCCGTTTATCTTCACAAACTGTTCCGCTGGATAAAAGTCAATCTAGCCAATGGTGAGCGTTAAAGTCTTGTTCAGAATGAGATACAACTTCCCCAGCGAGTCAATGTGCCTGTTAAGCACTAAAGGCTGAGGAAGAGTCAATAAATAGAAGGCCGGCAGGACGCTCGAGGCTCTCCAGACGTCTGAGTCACCAGAGTCTTCTGCTTGTCTGGCAGACCTGTGAGCGACGGGTCAGTGAGGAAGGGTTTATTGTCCCACAGCTCTAAATCACCATCATATACAATGTCTTAAAAGGGTCGTTAATCTATCCTGACTGACTGAGCCATGATTTTAAAAGATTGTCAGATTTTGGAACCAAATGCTACTGTTTTGCACTTCTGCTGACCGAGCTGCTTCTTTAACGTTCCCTTTAAACTTTCCTTGAAACTTGTTGTGACAAACAACATCTGTAAACATTACATTTCATGCAATGTCAGTCATACACAGTGTCCCAGGAAGGTGAATAGTAATGAGACAAGTGTTTTTTCGGCCAAACATAAATGAAACATTTTGCAGGATGCTTGATTCCCATGGCTGTACAAGTGTTCATGACACTTTATACAAAGAAAAGATTGGTATTGCGAGACATGAAAAAACAAGAATTCACCCAGCTTTACTTTCAGTTAAACTGATTTAGCTTTCAGCTTGGTTGGTTACGTTTCATGCTGATGCCTGAGAGACCTTTAAAAAAGGGTGCAACCTCAGTAAATTGTTAATTCAGGGAGGACTGAACCTGAGGCCTGCAGGTGAAGACAACGTTTGGTTGCAGAGCTATTTTTAAGTCAGCAGCCTAATGCATTTCAGTGAAGTGTAGCAAATAAACAAATCTCTTCTCTCTTTTTGTCACAGGCTGGCAGTTTTCTTCTAGTAGCATTTTAAGAAACCTCAGAATACACCTACAGTTTAAAAAAGACACTATCTGCAGGCGCAGCATGGATTTATTTGATTAACATTCCACCCACATATACACATCAATCATCAATTAGCTTTGTGTTTGGGAGACTCTGGGATTTATGAATCAGAATAAGGATTATTAGGAGTATGTGCTTGTCAGATATACAATCTGAAATTGGGTCTTCTGTGTGCGTGTGTGTGTGTGTGTTTGAAAGCGCTGTTGCGTAATGTGTGAATCTCGGCAGCCGGAGCTCTGGGATTTGGAACAACTTCAGATGAGTGAAGAAACTCTTTTGTCTGAGCGGATTCACTCGTCCTGCTTCTCCTTCACAAACAGAAGGCTCAGCTTGTTACTGAAAGATAGTGTATATGAAATAATCTCCTAAAGCAGACAGTATGTGGGTCTAGATCATGCCTGAAGCCTGACATAGGATCATTGTTGCAGCGCAGCACCTTTTATATAACTGCATTTCTTTAGATTTTTTGCCCTTTTGCACATTTTCATCCTCATCCGGAGCAACGTTTGATGACTAATCGAAGAAAAAGAAAGAGCTCAGAAGATAAAACCTCCTGCATGGGTACCCACTGCATCTACCTGCTCCCATCACCTCCTCTATTAATATTTGAGTATGGTTTACATAAGTGGTCTCTGAGGTTGTGGCAGGAGATGTTTTACATCCAATTTCTCTGTTTTCTTCAAAATTTCACGACATTGATGGATTCTTAGTCAGATGTGAAGTGACTTTCAAAAAAAAGAAGTTGTTTGGCATCGCCGCCGCCGCCAATGCTCCTCCTGTGAGACGAGTCCCAGCCAAATAATTTCCACTAATGGAGACAACTCCCCCTCAGAGCTCAGCTAATGTCTGATTCTCTCTTCGCCAAACTGTGGGTGGTAAAAACTGATTAGAATGAAGCACACTGAGCAGCAGGCTGGATGTCAGGAGATGTGAGACGGACAAGATGTGGTGATAAATGTGAAGGATGTGAAATGTCTAGTGATTCATCTTAACAAGGGCCACTTGTACCCAGTGTTGGGCACTAATATTATTACTGTTCCCAGTAAGTAGTAGTGTAGCGGATTACTCTTTTCCATAGCAGTAATATTGTTGCAGTTACTAATCCAAGTAAAGCTGCGTTACTAAAAAGCAATTTTGTTGTCCTTGACATGAAAGCGCAACTGCACTGCAGGTCAGCGGCAGTTTAAGTCGAGAAGCCAGACTATATGTTGTTCTAGTGGGCCGTTAGCCGAAAAGCTAAAGGAAGAATAGAGAACGAGGGACGAAGGCATTCTTTAACATTGTCGTCTGTTGTAAACTTTCAACCGCAAACAAGTAAAAGTAGTATAGTAGCCTAACGTAACTACTTACTTTTAAAACCTAGTAATAAGTAAAGTAATTTACTTTAAAGTAACTTTTTTAAGGAATAATAAGTAACTAGTAATACAATACAACACTGCTTATAACACTTATAACACTGCTTCTAACCCAGGGAACAGTTACTTTGCTGGGGTGAATGTAGAAAGATTTTGTAGTTTTAAATATTAGAAATTATGTTTTGATTAAAAAAAAAACCAACATATTGAGTCAGCTGTAATATGTAAACAGTACATGTTGCTATCGAGAGTGGTAACAACCAGTTAGCAAGCGGGCAGAGAGGTCGAAGATGAAAACAATTGATAAGATGTTAAAATAGTTTCCGCGACCCTGTACGCAGGATCAACGATTGACGATGGATGGATGGATGGATTTTTCACAAATCTGTCAAAATCTGTCTTAGTGAGTACTTCTCCTTTGCCGAGATAATCCATCTCCCACATATCTCACATTTAAGTTGGAGGCCACTGGTCCATTACACTATGTTCTCTCCACTTATTTTCCTAGCTACATTTCTACCATCCATATCCAACATGTGTCTACCTTTTCTTACTAATTAGACACTTGGAAAGTTCCAGGTCTTCTTTTGGATGGAATCATTTGTAATCAGGAGATTAGTTTTTTATTAAAAACTACCTAAGCCAACCAGCAGACAGCTAGCCTTCCAACAAGTTAAATGTTTATGAGCAAATTCCCCTTTCATCCCCTGACATTTTCAAACTTTTAGAGGAGACACCCCTTGTGACTCAAAGTGTCTTTGGGCAAAATGCTGACTGCCTACTGGCCTCATGAATGACGCAGCGCTTTAAAAACCTTTGTGGACAGCAGGGGGAAGGAGAAAAAAAGAAAAGTATCCACTCCTCAACAGATAATGGCGATCCCAAATACGACATAACTCAACTTTGGAAAAGCTGTTTTCTAGTCCTAAGCAGAGCAGCGATCCAAGTTTTCTGGGCACTCAAATCATAATTTACTGTATATCCCTTCAAAAGTAATTGGCTTTAACCAAATGAGAGCACAGAGGGAGAAAGGGTTAGATCAGGTTTAATGAGCAGTCTGACTAATTATTTTTCAAGCTTTTTGAGGATTAAACCAATTAAGGAAAATCAATGTTTGAGCTCAGATGCCATGCATGCTCATAGTAAACATTAACACACACACACACACAGTGATGATACGAGGCTGCTGTACTGTACCTGCTGTGAGATGGCGTATCCAATGACAGTGTCTCCCTGAGGGACGTTCCATGTCACCATGGCCGAATGTGCCCTCAGCTGGGTCACCGATACATTCACCGGGGCTGCTGGCACAGCTGTTAAAACACACACACACACACACACACACATTAGGCTACTTGCTAGGGACAGTGAATTACATAAGAGTCTGCACATCAACTTTGGCGAGCATTCATGACCAGCAGATGCAAAGAAAGCCCAAATTCTAACTATACATTTTCCATCACCAATCATTTTCTGAGATCAAACTCTACTGCAGTTCCTGGAAATACACTGTCTGCATACATTTGGCCATATAGTGTGTGTGCATACAAAACCAATTGGACAAAAAACTCACATTCACTCCTTTTCAAACTGTCTGCAGAGACAAAAGGAAACCTTGTTATATAACCTTAGGCCAACACAAACAATGTTATTTCTCTATAAAGAAAATCATTTAAGATTTCAAGCTTTTATCCCTCCCAGGAAAATGAATATATTAAAGATGAATAAACTTTCATGAATTATGCATATGAGCCTCCTAGCCTAAAGACTCTTAACAAGTTTAACAATCCTGTCTTCTTTTTCTTTGTTACTGTTGCATTTTCTTCTATTTATTTATTATATTCTTCTATACATGTAACTTGTTGCAGTGAGAATTTTAATGCAATGCACATAACATTTAGTTTAAATGAAATGTGCTATATAAACAAAATTGCCTTGCCTTTAAAATGTTTGTGTTGGAGAACGTCCTGCAGCACTTCATATAAATGTTTTTGTACGGATTAAACAAATGAGAACATGTTAATTAATGAGGTTTAGAGTTGCTGGTATGCAGCTGGTAATTATATTATCTTTGGACAGTCTAGCTGTTTCCCTGTTTCCATTCATTATGCTGAGCTAAACTAAGCTGCTGCTGGCTTCAGCTACATATTTACCGCACAGATATGAGAAGACAGCTTCTTCACAAGAAAATGAATCGGTGCACTTCCTAAAATGTCAAACTACACCTTTAATGCCAGATGTCTGGAAAAACCTTCAATAAAATGCAAAGAAAATTATTTAAACCTCTTTCATATACACATTATGTAAAGGTTCAAAATCATAAATCCACTGCTTATACAATTTATACTGGTGTTCCGCAAGGATCTATACTTGGGCCACTGTTGTTCAGTCTTCATGTTAATGATTTGCCCTTGGTTTGTCCCGATGTAGAAATCCATCCATTATATGCTGATGATGCTGTTATTTATGTACACAGCAGCACAAAGCAGCAAGCTGCTTCAAAACTGACCAGTGCAATGAACTACATTACAACATGGCTTGACAGATCATGTCTTATGTTAAATGTTATAGCATATTCTAGCATGTTCTTTTCAAAGCAACCATGTAGCACTCCAGACCCAGACATAATAATATCACGTTAAAATTTGCACGTTGTGACTGAATCCAAGTATCTGGGTGTCTGGATTGATTTGAATCTCTCTTTTAGAACTCATGTAAAAATTATGTGCAAACGAGTTAGATTTAATTTAAGTAACTTTAGATTTGTTAGGCAATCACTCAGCTTTGAAACTGCTATGATATATATGAATGCCATGATTATCCCACATTTTATATATTGTTTGACAAGCTGGGCACAGGCTAACAAATCCACAATGAAGCCACTTGAAAGTCTTTTTAAACATACATACATATCAAAGTTTTAGATTAGAAACCTAATAGTTTTCACACCTTTCAAATCTTAAATACCCATTGGCTTCTAAGTTGGGAAAACTTGATCAATTATTGTAACCTCAGTCTAGTTTATAAGATATTGCACAGCACTGCCCAACCTCCACTGAAGAGATTTGTTATGCAGAGAGCAGGCACTCATGGTACCAGAGGTATCACAAGAGGGGATTGTATCATTCCCACTCGAAGAACGGTAGAAGAACCGTGCTTTTAGTCAGTCAGCGTTCTCTGTAACAGCATCTAAATAATGGAATCTATTGCCAATGCTGATAAGAGAAGCAAATACTTATTCTTTTACTGGTCAGCTTAAGAAGTGGCTAATTGATATAGATATGTGCACATTAGACTACTGACTACCTACTGAGATTTGTTGCTTGTTTGCAGATTGCCCCGGATGTTTTGACCGTAGCCCTGAATGTAACTCAACAACAACAACAAAAATATTTTCCATGTTAATATGCAATAATCTTCATGATGCAGCCTGTCTCGCAGGCCTTCAAAGAGCAGAGACTACTCGCAATAATATTGCTACATTTTCTTTACCGTTACTCAGCCCGCCTGCGTTTAGAATGAGCACGAGAGGATAGAGAGAGAGAGAGAGAGAGAGAGAGAGAGAGAGAGCAATGCTCACAGCTTCAGGGATTATTATGTTTTTGAAAAGTGCTCTACAAATAAGGATTATTATTATATTATTATTATCCGCGACTTCTGAATTGTCCCTGACAAAATTTTAATAAATACAATTAAATATAAATGTTGTCGGTCAATGTCTAGTCAGTGTAGGCCTATAGCTACACAAACGGTTAACAGTCGCCCAAAGTAGTGAGAGAACATCACGACACACCGCGACGCAGACACCTGTCGCGCTGTGTCCTGCTGTCTCTCTCCCACTCGCTCAGAGACACTTTGCTCTGTTTGACTATCTCTCTGCTCCAGGATGCTTCATTCCCTTTAAAGTGGATCTGTGATCTGCACTTTATTAGAAGTGCTGAAGTGAACATTAGTGTGGAATTGTGGTGATATTTCTGTCTGATCACAAGTATTTTCAGTTTCGGTTTTCTTTCTCTGATGAAGAGCAGTGCGCTCCTCTCGTTGAGTAGTCAAATTTTTTATTTATATTGGCCTAACTGTTTTTTAAAAAACGATCCGCTAATAAAGCATCATCCCTATACTGACATTGGGCTGGCCCAATCACATCTCTTATTAGCCCCCCTCTAGTTTAGTTAGCTAAGTTAATGAAGTTAAGTTATCCAGGTGTAGTTAGCCTGCATAGTTATTGCAGAAAGTTGGCTAACAGAGGGTCTTCATTTTATTTTTTAGTTTCCTCCTCTTGGTTTAGTGTGCTGTTCATTTTCATTATGGCATTTGTGCGTGCGGTGTTGGAGGACAGATGACGAAAACGAAAACGCGTCGCACTTTCACCTGCCACTGTCTTATTTACAGTCTGCAACATGCATTTTACTGACGGCCGTTTTACCAATGCATCGGCGGAGACACCCACCACATCCCCGCGGTAAAGTAAGCGCAGAATAAAACGTACTAGGAGTTATCGTGTGCGGTCCATGACAGGACCATCAATTGTATGATTGATAACAGCTGATACCCGCACATTAGTTTCTATCATGGGTAAGTAATAGCTACTCCTGCCAGACAGTAAAGTGTACTAAACTTTACAGTGTAGTGATGTTAACACAGCACATCATTAGTGAACACTCCAGCCGGTCAGTTTTGGTTGTCATGGTAGTGTATTACGTCCGACTATTGACCGCATCCTCATTCTCTGTTTGAGAAAGAACGTTAACCAAAAACGGCAGTTAAAACTGGCTGGAGGGGGGCTTTAAAGCCCAAATTTTTCAGGGGGAGGACACCCAGACCCCACAGTTGAATATTATCAGTGTTAATTATTATCATTATCAGTAGTAATTATAAAATTCATAATAAATGTAGGCTACATATATAATTTACTGTTGCTTTATAGACCTACTTTGGGTAGGCGGCAGTGGGGGGTGGGGGGTTAAAACATCAAAGATTTCTGGCTAAGCCCCCAATGTTTCAAGAGCCTGGAAACGCCCCTGCTTACTACTATTTTGTATATATTGTTATTACTTGTGGACTGTTATAAGTCATTTTATGTAATTTTAAATATTTATTTTAGGTTGCCCTCATAATAAATGGCCCTCATTTACAGTTATTTTACAGTTAATTAATGTGCACTATCCCTGTCAAATAAACATATATAAGTATAAGTATAAACAGCCACAGTGATACTCCATCATGCCCACGTGTGTTTTAGTCAGTGTGAGTTTCCATCAGCTGCCTATCCCAGTGTCCTTGAGAAAGACAATGGTGAGGACGACTTTCCCATCCACTCTGTCATGAAGAGTCAATGTGGATTAAAGTGTCAGCTAAATGGCTAAAGTGTAAATGTATGATCATGTGAGAAAGATGAGAAGCACACACACGTACTGTACTTACACACTCGAGTGCTCATATTAATGATTCTCTGGGGGCAGGTTAACATTGATGGGAAATCTGAAGTGTTCACTGGGCGAGTGTGAGAATTTTTTTATGTCACTCAATCACCAGTAATAGCTGTGACCTCTACTGAGAGGGAGGGAAAGAGAAGGTTAATAAATTCGCTTTGGTTTCTGTTTTGTTCACGAGGAAAACAGCTGGAATTAGGAGGGAAGCAAAGACGGAAAAGGGAAAGTAAAAAAAGAGAAGAAATAAACGGTTATAGAAACAGAGAAAGAGGAGAACTGTAGATATGACCCTTTTTCACAAAAGCTAAACAATTGGAAAGAAAGACAATGAAAAAAGACAGAAAGAAACAGAAAACCAGAAAGAAAGGCAATGAGGCAGAAAATATGACAAAATATGACAGAAAGACAGCAAGAAAGAAGAAAATAAAGACAGAAAAACATTAAATCAGACAAGACATAAAAAGACTAAAAAAAAGATAGAAAGAAAAAAATACAGACCAATAAATAAATAAAGACAATACAGAAAGAAAGAGACCGAAAAAAAGAGAAAAAATATTGACAAAATGAGACAAAAATAAAACAAAGAAAGAAAAAAGGAAAAATAAGAATGGCAGAAAGAAAGAAGGTCCAAAAGATTAAAAAATACAGACACAAGGAGAGACAGAAAAAAAGAGACAAAACAAAACAAAAAACATTTACCTAATGACATATAACCCAGAAAAAGAAAAAGGCAAGAGACAGACAGAAATAAGCAGGAAAGAGATGAGCAGGCATCCATCTATGACTTTCCTCTTACTGATGATTTATGATGAAATCTATAACCAGATTTTTACTGTGCACAAGGAGCTATTGATGAGTTCATTTCATCCACTCCAACTTCG